TAGCTGGATGAGGGTCACATGGGGGCAGGAGTTTGAGTGGAGCTATGCAGGGTGGAGGCAGGAGGAACTGGGGGGGCTCTGTGGGGGGGACAGGAGGAGCGGGGGAGGTGTGCAGGGCGGGGGGGGCAGGAGGAGCTGGGAGAGGGGTTGCGGGGGCAAGGAGGCGCCGGGGGGGGCAGGGGGACAGGAGGAGCGGGGGAGGTGTGGGTGAAAGGGAAGAGAGAAGCAGATTAGGGGGGCGGTGAGGGGTGGGAGCAGGGGTGAGGGGAAGCCCAGGATGGCCGGACAGTAGGGGCTGGGGGTGGAGGGGGGGCCGGGCAGGGGGCTGTGTGTTGCATGGGGGGAGGGGGGGATGTCTTTTTTTAAAGGAGCCAAAGCCCATGTCTGCTGAAAGGCAAAGCTCCTGCATGAGTGTGCCTGAGCGATCCCCCCCACCACCACCCTGGGCACCCAGCCCTTGAACCCCCTCCCCCCCAGTGCCCATCCCCCATCCGGGCACCCAGCTCTGGGACCTCCCCGCCCAGTGCCCATCCCCCGCCCTCCGCCCCAGGCACCCAGCTCTGGGCCAGGGAGCGCCTGAGCCCCAGGCCGCAGTCCCAGTCCGTCCCCCCCCCCAGACACCCGGGCTGGGCCCTCCGGCCTGTTCTCCAGGGCTCAGCTGTGCCACCCGCCCCAGCCCCCTGGGGGGTCCCCAGCTTGTCACTGCTCCAGGCCCCCACTTTGGCAGGTGCGGTGCAGGGGGTAGGCCAGCCCCCGGGGATGTTCCCCCCCTCCTGCTCCAGGCTCCCTTCCCCCCCGGGGTTTGGTGACCGTGGGCTGGCCAGGCTTGTGGGCACAGGCGGGGGCGAACTCACCTGGGGACTGGCATTGGGGACGCCCGGCCCGGTAACACCACCGTCGCCGGCCCGGGATCCAGCCGGCAGGAGCTGCAAACGCTCCCACCCGCCAGGTCTGGCTCCGACCCCAAGCCAGGCTGACGGGGCTGGGAGCAGCTTTCCGGCTGTGAGGGCAGATGGGCGACAGGCCCCGCAGGGACCCCCCACCCGCCCGCATCCGCCAGCAAGGGAGCACTACAGCCCCACCCCCACCCCAGTGCTCCTCGGGGTGCCACAGCTGAGGGGGATGGGGCTGCAGGTGGGGGCCCAGTTGGGGGGGCGCTTTGTGGGGTGGGGATGGGGTACAAATGGAGGGTTGTGGGGGCGGGTAGGTTATTGGGTGTTATAGTGGGGTGTGGAGGGGTGAAGGGTATTGGCGTTACAGGGAGTGTGGGGGTAAATGGGGGTGGAGGGGTTGCACTTTTGCTCTGGCTGTTGGGTCGAGGCAGGTCCCACCCCAGAGGCAGCCACATCTCGGCACCGGTGGGGGTGGGGGGGTGTCCCTGTATAAACAGCCCTTATGCCCCACCCCAGAGGTGGCTGCATTGCCCGCCAGGTGAAGGATCCCAGGGATCTGCAGGGTAACCGCCCTGTCCTCTCTCGTTCCCTCTAGAGCATTCGGCGGCAGCAAAGACGGGCGGCTGCTTCCCTGCCCGGGCCCTGGCGACGCTGGAGGGTGGGGCCAGGACCCCGCTGTGGGCACTGCGCCCGGGGCAGCGGGTGCTGGCTATGGACGAGCAGGGCCGGGCCACTTACAGTGACTTCCTGGCCTTCCTGGACAAGCAGGCGTCCACGCCCACCACTTTCCACGTCATCGAGACCCGGGAGCCGGCGCGTCGACTTGCCCTGACCCCTGCCCACCTGCTCTTCGTGGCCGAGAACTCCACGGCGCCTGCTGCCCGCTTCCAGGCCACCTTCGCCAGCCACGTGCGGCCTGGCCACTACGTGCTGGTGGCAGCGGTGGGGACGAGCCTGCGGCCGGCCAGGGTGGTGGATGTCTCCACCCAGACAGACTTCGGGGCCTATGCCCCCCTCACCCGCCACGGGACCCTGGTGGTGGACGACGTGGTGGCCTCCTGCTTTGCCCTGGTGCAGGAGCAGTGGCTGGCGCAGCTGGCGTTCTGGCCGCTCCGGCTCTACCACAGCCTGGCGGGCGGGCACAGGACCCAGCCGGAGGGCGTGCACTGGTACTCGGGGCTGCTGTACCGCCTGGGCCGGCTGCTGCTGGCCCCGGAGAGCTTCCACCCGCTGGGGACGGCCCAGTTCGAGAGCTGAGGGCTGCCGGGGAGAGGAGGGGTGGCCGTTGGGCCGCTCTGCAGGGAAGAGGAGCCATCCACGCTCTGAATGCCGCCTGCCCTAGGAAGTGTGGTTGGCTGGGCCTGTGCAGGGCCCGGCCAGAGTGGGCGGGGAGCCTGGGGCACGTCCTCCCCTGGGCCCGGATCCCATGTGCCAGCGTGGCTGGGCGGCACCACACGGACCCCGGCGGAGCCACCGGCCTGGGCCTGGGGGACCCGTCTCACGTCCCCAGCTACCCCAGCTGCTCCGGGAGGCCTGGACCTGTGCGGCCCGGATGCCAGTCTCCCCCCTCTGTTGCTGGCACCAGGGCTGCCCCGGCTCCCTGCCAGCCTGGGATCTGCCAACTGGCCCAGGGCCCCGGGGCAGGGGTGCTGCAGGAGGGGGCGCCCCAGCCGGATCTCCATGCTGCTATTTCTGTGCGTGATTCGCTAATGACCAAGTTCCAAGGAAGGAGGGGCCAGGCGGGAGCCCCCCCATGCCGGGGGTGATGGCAGGGTGGGGGGTGGGGACTGCTGCAGTAGGGGCAGGGCACGGCGTTTCGGGGCGCCCAGCCCTCCCCCGACGCCGCCATCGCTGGCCTCAGCCTGCAGCGGGGCAGGAGGGTGGCAGAGGAGAGATCTGAGTGCCAGAGCGGCTCCATGCCCAGCCAGGCCACTCAGCCACCTGCGCCCATGGGCTGCGCTGGGCAGAGACCCCCTGCCGGCAGGGCAGCCCCGTGCGCCAGGTGGAAGTAAAGTCACTGCTGAGAACAAGCTGGTGCCCCCAGGGATGGACCATCTGTCACAGAAAACAAGAAAACCCCCCACTTCGTCACACCATCCATGCGGCTTCTGAGGCCGAGAGGCTGCCCAGCCAGGCTGGGGGGGGGAGTTGGGGTATGAGTGTGAGAGGGGACACCGGGGGGCTTGTGCCCTGGGGGGGGTTCCTGCCCACGGTGTGCACGGTGCATTGGCAGAGGGCAAGGCTGGGCAGGGCACGGACAGTGACTGGGTGCCATCTGGAAGCAGCCCCAGGGGATGGTGCCTCTTAGCCAGATGTGAGCGTGGGGGGGGGGATGGGGTGGAGAGCCCCCCCAAAATATATTACTAAAAATAGCACCAGTGCTGGCTCCAACTCTGAATTCGCCCACCTCTCCCTGCCCCCACCCCACCTGTGCCATTCACGCCCACAAAACCAGGTGCCCTCCCCAGCTCTGAACTGGCTCCCGCACCCCTCAGGGTAAGTCCTGGCTGCTCCCCTCGTGACAGGGAGCTCCCCCCCCCGCTGGCAGCACCAGCCACAGGGACCCCCCCAGCGCTAGTTAGTGGCTCAGCCGTGGGCCGTGTCCCCCTCCTGCCGCATCAGCCCCCGTTATTTATTTCTCTGCTCGCTGTACCGGAGCCCGTGTCCCTGTGGCGGCGGCTCCGGGGGGGTAGGGGGGGGGGGGCTAAAGCAGAAATTATTTAAGGATTATTGTACAGCCGGCGTTTCTGGCGCCGTGGCCGGAGCGGGCTGCGAGCCGCTTGTCTCTTCACTGGAGGGAGATTTCCCGGGCGGGGACAAGACCAATAAACCGATGGACTTACGGGTGCTCCACGCGTCTCTGTGGTTTCGAGCTGCCGTCCCCTGCCCTGACCCCGGCCCCGGCCCCGGCTCCGGAGCCTCCCACAGCCCATAGCGGGGAATGCGGCCAGCTCTGGGGCAGAGCACAGCACCCCCCACCAGCACACGCCACTCTGGGAAACGCTGCATGGAAATCCCGGGGTGGGGGGCAGGCTGGGGTCACGTCAGTGGGAATGGGCCACGCAGGAGAAGTGCCAGGGGCATCGGGGGCAGCCCTGACTCAGAGAGGAGCGACCCGCACTTGCCCGGGAGTCGCCCATCCCGCTCCTGGCCTGGCCCCAGCTGTGCGGGGGAGCCCATATAACCCGCCCCAGGAGTGCTCCCAAAGGGACAGCAGGGGGCGCTGCCCTACAGCAAATCTGCCAGGGGCAGGGCAGCTGGGCCCCAGGCCTGAGCCCTCCTCTGCCAGGGGCGGGGGGGGGAGGGTGCCTTTGGCTGCGGCTCCCCCCCACGGGCTGCCCCAGGGACAGGGCTGTGGGGAACCCGGGCTCCAGCGCAGGCCCAGGGGGACCAGGCGGGTGGTGCCAAGCCAGGCGCCCACAGCAGGGCCAGGAGCGAGTTCGGGCGCAGGGGCAAGGACAGGGCCCACCAGTCACCCCAATGCAGCCTGTCCAGGCCTCCCTGACGCTGCCCCCAGCCCAGGAGTTACCTGGGGGTGGGAGAGGAGTGGGGTCCCCTCGGGCTGTTAGGGGCTGGCCCGAAGCCCTGCCTCGAGCTCACCGCCCGGGCTGCCGGTAGAGCCCTTGGCCACAACTGGTCTGGCCCCATCCCCCAGCCGGACATCACTGGGACCCATCCCCCGCTGCCTCCCAGGCCCCGGGGCCCCCTCCGGCTCCCCCTGAGCCCCAACTCGCCTCTCAGGCCCCGGGGCCCCCTCCGGCTCCCCCCGAGCCCCCAACTCGCCTCTCAGGCCTCGGGGCCCCCTCCGGCTCCCCCCGAGCCCCTAACTCGCCTCTCAGGCCGCGGGGCCCCCTCTGTCTCCCCCCGAGCCCCCAACTCGCCTCTCAGGCCCCGGGGCCCCCTCTGTCTCCCCCCGAGCCCCCAACTCGCCTCTCAGGCCCCGGGGCCCCCTCTGTCTCCCCCCGAGCCCCCAACTCGCCTCTCAGGCCCCGGGGCCCCCTCTGTCTCCCCCCGAGCCCCCAACTCGCCTCTCAGGCCCCGGGGCCCCCTCTGTCTCCCCCCGAGCCCCCAACTCGCCTCTCAGGC